CAATGTTCCACTGAGAAAAGGGGTTGCTGTACAACACAAGCCAATCCAGACTTCCTATCAGATACGATTGGTTTTATTTAAGTCCTTCTGTGAAAACATTGGAAGTGATCAATGCTTTGATGAATTTGGTTTTATGCTTTATTTACTAGCAGTTAATTTTGTGTTTAAAATATATCCCAAGTTCATATTTTACCAATGTTTTTCATATTAATTAGCATGTAGCGTACCATAAGCTGCGATGTAAATGAACTTATAGGATTCTGTAAATTGATAAAATGCACATATAGGATTAGGTAAATAGGGATGTCAATGTAATTTAGCAATGTGCCAGGAGCGACAAATTGTGTAAATCCACAAATACTTAAATTGGCATTTCTTGAATGGCCAATCTATAATCCCATATTCATCACCATTAGGTCCATTGGATCATTCAGAGAGACAAAAAAACTAGTACCCCCAACGCTTTACAACTCCCATGACTTAGCGGTTTTATTGAAGGGGCATAAGTTATTAAATAAGTTGATTGTTAATATTAAAACAAGAGGTTATTTTATGTAATCAATGCATTTCAGCCACATCGCAAATGGGGACACTTGTTTTGACTCGATCTTAAGATGGCATAATTTCCCAGTGGTAGGCCTGCCAGTTTATTTTCCCTCAAAAGCATCATATCGTCACAGGGGAAATCCCAAGAGACAATACATTGGCTCATCTGGAATATCAGCCATCACCATCTGCTTCGGAGCCCTGTAGACCTTTCTCCCAAAGGGCCTGATTTACTAGTGTGATAGGTGCTATATTTTCAATCGTCTCTTCCTTGCTCTGTTACAGATATTGGCACAGAGGAGGCCACGCGAGTCTTTAATATTTTTCACGGTATTTCCTCTTCCTATGGCCATTGGCCACTATATGTTTTATAGACAGTATATGACTCCCCTAGTCAGTCTCACCTCGTCACAGTGGCTGGCTTTCTCTAAGCCTTCTATTGATGCATGGTCAGGGATGGTGCCCTGGTGACAGTTGTGTTAACAATAGCCCCTGCCTGTGCTATGACCTATTTGCACTTGCCTTCTGCTTGCAGTGGGGGGCTTACCTGGAAGATGAATGAACTTGGTCAGACTGAGTGGGCCCTCCCCAAAGTACTCTCTCTCTACCCTTCAGTTCGAGTGGGGTCAGTGCTGCCTTGTATAGTGAGTGTCACTGAAGTGGTGCTGGGTTTTTCTACTGAAAGGTAGTGATACGGTATTGCGGTGTTTTTTGTTTGTTGCGACGGACCCGAGCTCCAATGCTTTGGTAATAAATCTAGCAGCAAAGTACGAGGCTTGGTCTTCATTGGCAGCTACACAGGTTTGTCTGGAGGCTCCAGGGTACGAAAGTTCTTCAGTGAGAAAGCTGAGTACATCTGTTTTGAGTGGCTTCACATTCTTATAGGTCAATCGCTAATTGTATAGAATTTCATTGACATTAATGAATGACAATATATTCAAAAATCTTGTGTTAGGATGTCATTTGTGAAACTTGTCCTCCAGGGCCTGAAGAAAATTAACCTCGATGAAGATGGATAATAATAATAATAATAATCATTGCATTTAATATAGCGTCTTATCACGCTTTTTAGACGACTCAAAGCACTTCACCGAATTATACTGTAAAGCGAATTGACTGTATATATTTCGTGGGCGAAACACGGCAGCCAATTGCGCACAGCAATGGATCCAAAGAGAGGTGACTTGGTGGTGTTGGTGATGGCGGGGAGTGAGAAGTAATCTAATAGTTTTAATGTGTTTCTGCCCACACCACAATAACACGTTGTGTAATTTTGTTTACTGACAGTCCCACCCCATCATTTTGATGATCTCTTTTCCATAAGGTTCTCCGTTTCCCTGTATCCTCATCTCAAGTTTAAGTATTTTATTTCTTCAGTAAAATTGTGAATCATTAGGGTACATTATCTTCGCTCACCTGTACACGATCTTGAATGATGAGGGCAAGCCCGACCTCTCCGATCACATTGTATGTGTTTATCATTATCCAGGAAGTGTGGTGAGGTCAGGGCATAGGACTTGTTTAAGAAATATTTTTAATGCTGTAATGTGAAAACTGTGGTGTTCAGCATTCTGGAAGGATGAGATCAAAAAGGGACCATGGGCTTTTTTCAACCAATCTTGTGATCTGGCCAATTAAATCTTTAACCAATGTTCTTCCACTGCCTCAGTAGCAAATGCACCTTATACTTTATCTGATGTGAGTGTGGTTGGATTGGTGGAAAGGAAGACTACATTTGGCCCAGAGGAGGAAGTTGATCAGCGTTCTTGCCCTTCTTGATATGCAGTGGTTTCTGCTGAAAGATTATTAGCAATTATTTTGTGCTTTCGATGCCTTTTATGTCAAATTGCAGTTGCTATTTTTTGTACATTATGCAGAGAAAGACTTCCTTGTATAAATTTGCCTCCTGCAGTGAGTTTCAGTTTCCTCCTGTACCTGGGATTAGCTCATTGACACTTCTCTGTAAATGGGGTGAAAAATCAGTTTCTGGTTGATTTGCATACCCGCCGTGTTGTTCAGCTGTTAATGTGTAAATTCAGAATGTTTGTTGTGAAAGTGGAGGAAGTATCTCATTTCTCCCCGAAATCCTGGTATTGATTTCTGCTCCATACACTTTATTCAAACATCTGCTCTCCTGTAGCCTGCGAATAAGGCCTGTAAATAAATGTGCAGAGTGACCCACACCAACTGCCTTTCACAGCGGCAGTGTAAAATGCTGTTGCATATGGGCGACCTTAACTGAATGTAAATTGGATTAGTAGTGGCCAGCTCTGGGCTTTCATCTCACAGGAAGCTAATTGTGTTATACTAAGAGAATCTGACAAGCCACTTTTGTAACTCAGGCAAGAGGCTGTCAGTAGTATTGTGCTAAAACAAAAGCAGATTGCATTTTACATTCGCAATAAGATCAGGGGCATTAGTAACTCACAAGAAAGTGTGAAAATCCGTTTGGCTATAGAGTGTTCCCTACATCTCCTCAGATTTTTTAAAAAAAATACTTTTAACATGACTTAAACATGCAAACATTTTCTGGGTTGTGCTTTACGCTTTGGAGAATGCGATTGATTCATTAATTCTCCACCCCACCCCCGTTTATATAAAAAAAAGTATCTATATTAATTTGTCAGATTCGCCCAGAGTCGTAAATATCACTGTAGCAAATGGATTTGGGTGGTGGTGGGTCGGAAGGGGGCAAGATTGTTTATTTTAACACGACTTAGTGGGTTTTACATACATTTTCATTCCTGTAATACATTACAAAACGTTTAAGTAAAACGGAACGATTTCTGTGTTGAGTCTGTTCGCAATTGAAGGGTCATAGCCTTTTAGTTAGTTAAATAAGACATTTGCAAGATTACATTTTCCCTGCTTGACGGATATAATAAGTTCAATTAAACCATAAATGTGATGACTGAAATCGTATAGTACAAGCTATCCTCTTAACTGTAATACAGATGGTGTCTCCTGTTACTACTGAGAAGGGGTGGGATGGGCATTTTAATTTCCATTGGTAAATTGTGCTGGATCTTTCTCTAAGAAGAATGATTGATCTCTGACATTTATTGGGCCCCCCTATGGGCTGGTTGATTATTAATTGATTGCAATCTGTATTTTTACCCATTGATTAGGCTTTGGGTTTCTTTAATCTTTCAAGGTTTCTATTGATGTGCGAACGCCCGTCTTTGTTTATGACACCAGAATTTAGATTTAATTCCTTTTTACATATTGATGAGCCGCAAGTTTCAGGCGCTGTGAAATATTTATAAGCTGTAATGTTCTGCTGATTGCCGGGATGAAGGCTGGCAGAGTTTTGTGGGCTGAGTGAGTGAGCGAGGCACTTTATCTTGGGAAAGTTTTTTTTGTCACCTGCAACTGAAAGACTCTGGAGTTCCTTTCAGATCCTGGAGTGTGAGAAATGACTTCGCTCACCGAGTTCCTTTCAATTACTGCTGGCAAAACATCTGTGAGATGATAACCACAATCAGTGAAAAATAAGATTATTTTTCACATTGCTTCAAGTCCCGTCCAGTTGGGCAAATAAGCTGTTCGCCAAACAATTTATATGTCAATGCCAAATGGAAGATTAGTAAGAATTTGCTGTTCAATTTCCGGCTTTTGTTTTCATTTTAGTATCAAAATGCTGAAAGTTTCAGTGTTTGCCTGACTTGTAGGAAAACATTTTTTTAAAAAAAATAAAAACAATTTAAACGTGGGACCTTTTTGTCATTTGCATTCCAGGGAAATTCCTATTTCTTTATCTGATATAAATTGATCTATGATTATTGGAAAATATTTGATTACAATATAAATAAAAATCAGGCTCTGCCATTGTTAAGCGCTCTGAGATGCCGTTCGGCGTGGAGGGCGTTATATAAATCCAAGTTGTTGTTATATAAGTACAAGTTGTTGCGGTTGTTAAATGCTACGGTTAAAATAGAATGCAAGTTGTTGTTTTTGTTGTGCACAAGATAACTGACATTTGGATTTGAATCTGGTTTGAATGTATAACCAACATTTATCCATCAGTGCTGCCTGTCTGCGTTGTCACAGCATGTGTCCTTGTGTAGTCCTGACTCACATGGGCAATGTAAACGCGGAGATGGATCTTTGCCATTGCGTGCAGAGCTTAAAGCTGTAAAGAAAATTCACATTGTTGTGGAAGTTATCTCTAACTGTTACAAATTAATCTTGGGGAATCTGTTTCTGTTTAACAAAATTGTAGGAATAGTTGAAGATTATTGCCGTTGTGACTGTTTTGCTTTGATTATTGCTTCTTGCAGTCATCATTGAATGTTCAAATGCAACTTAAGAAACTTGTACCAGTTCCTTCCATTAGTTGCTTTTGACTTATTCCTGTTATCTGTTCTATTTGAGTTTTTCCTCACTTCCACTTTGCAGCTTTGTAACCCAGCTCCTAGTTTTTTGTGTGTCTAACTGTAGCCATTTCATTCTAGGTATGACTCCATTTGAGGTGCAACCAACCAATACAGTGGCCAGCAAAGGGGAGGTAGCACGATTTGTTTGCAAGATACATGCCAATCCTCCGCCCATCATAACCTGGGAATTCAACCGGACGACACTGCCACTGGTGACGGACAGGTATGATGATCTGTCTTATTTAGTGTCGCCAAAGGAATCCTTTGGAGTCCTGCACCAAAATGCAATGACAGAAACTAATTTGATACTCTGATGGACTTTATTTTGTGCACAAGAGTTTTATGTTAAAAATGTACCAAGTTGTTCCAACAAGAGTAACGTTCAACCTTCTCAGCTAATGCCATGGTTATGTGGGAATGTACCTTTCTCTTTCAGGATAACTGTTCTGCCGACTGGAGTCCTTCAGATATACGGGGTCAAGGAAGCAGATGCTGGGCATTATCGCTGTGTTGCAACTAACATTGCAAATAGACGCAGGAGTGTGGAGGCTGGTTTAACCGTTATACCAGGTATACAGTTAGAATGGGTTTCTGCATTTTGCCCACACTCAGTACTTAATGCAGTCGAGATACTCATGAACCTTATATGTCCACATTGTTAAGAAAGTTATTCATTTAAGGATACTGTCTATATTTTGTTGTGGTACAAAAGGTGAATGGCTGAACTCTATGGGGATGAAATGATGCCTTGTTCGGAGCTGATAAACAAGCAGCAAGCAAGATGTTCCATCAAATTGCAGCTAGCAGTTGTTGAGATTTATTCTCGAAGTTTATCATGTTTTGAAACTCCAAAACCCATTCCTATAACGGTCAAACAACCTTACACTGACGCTCGTTGTTTCACCAGAGTTCTGTGGAAAAGGAAAGGATATCATTAAAGTGAAACTTGGGGGCACGGCAAACTTTCGATGAGAACGTGTCTGCGGGGAAACCTCTAGAGATACGAAATTCCACTTTCAGTATTAAATGAGGCTAAGCAGATTTCTCTGCTCCCTACCAATTTCCATGTTTCTGCAGGCCACTGGCATTATTTTAAATCAAATGCATCTGTGAATATTCACACAGTTGATGGCTCCACTTAATTGTGTGGATATTTTTGTAAAAGAATCTCTTGCCTTTGCTGAGAATGGAAACCTACATCACAGTTCATGACCTGCCTCCTGACATTACAGAAACTCTCACTGTGATAGGATGTGCCTGGTGGCATCAAGGGAATGGAACATTCAGGATCTAAAGTCTAAATATGTACCTTTGGCCCTGTTTTAGTATTACTTCCTTTTATTATTAAAAAGGAAATCCTTTAACCAAGACGGTATTCCAATTTCCCTCGTTTCCTCCTTTGGACGGGGTATAAATAAATAAATATTAAGCCTTGGAGTGACTGTGGATTTTTGTAGGCAAACTATTTGCAAACAGCCATGATGTGAACGACCCATTTTATCCGGGGGAATTGTTTGGCCAGGACACCTGGAGAAACTCGCTTCCCTTTTCAAATAGCGCTTTGGGATATTTTGACGTACGGCTGAACAGGCAGGCGGGATCTCAGTTTTGAGGATGGCACCTCCCAACAATGCAGAGCTCCCCCAAGTACTGCATTGGAGCACCAGTCACGACTGTGAATTAAAGTCCCGATGTAGGGGCTTGAACCCATAACCTGCTGCTCCAGGCGAGAGTGCTCCCAACTAACCCAGACTGACACCCACGTGTATTTAGTATTTGTTTAGTATATTGCAGTAGGTGTATGTACGTATGGACTGTTTTTGTTAACTTGCTCTGTTTTTGATAGCTCTGGCAGCAAAAACCTTTCAGAAACCAATGATTATAGCGGGTCCTCAAAACATCACTGTGCCGGCTCACCAAACGGCAATTCTCGAATGTGTCGCCATTGGTTCCCCGAAGCCCCTCGTATCTTGGAGTCGTTTAGGTAAGCTGTCCGCATGCTCTCTTCCCTTTCCAGTCCTTTTCACCTTCAATATTTGAAAACCACAGACCAGTGGTAAATCACCAGAAAGTCTTGGAAATGCCTTGACTAATCTAGCAAATGATTCGAAAGTGGTTATGGATCGAAGGCTATCTACTAATCCCTGCACTTGCTTTTTATTGCCAAACAGACCACAAGTCCATTGACGTCTTTAACACACGAGTTCTAGGGAATGGGAATCTGATGATATCGGATGTGAAGGTGCAGCACGCTGGAGTGTACGTCTGTCGGGCAACCACCCCAGGAACACGTAACTACACTGTAGCCGCTGCTCTGCTCACTGTGTTAGGTAAGATAACATGTCTAAGTCAAGGGGCCTGAGCCAAGACTCAACCTGAATTGCATTAAAAATGGCAAAATTTTGAAGACTCTTGCCTTTGAAATTATTTGAAGGTTTTGATGGTGCAATTTTATACAGAAGTTATGCAATGAAAAGTGTACTATACAATCTCCTTCAAAGTTAAAAAGAAATGGTTAACACTACCGCCGAGCTGGATAAATGTTCTTTCTGAGGCTGGCTGAGGCTCATATCCCTACCAATTAGGGATAATGTAGGGATATGTTTCGCCCACAAAATATACAGTCAATTCACTATACTATTCTGTGAAGCGCTTTGAGACCTCTCGAAGACCTGATAAGATGCTATATCAAATGCAAGGATTATTTTACTATTATTATTAAGCTGAACTGACGTGTGCCCAAGTCTTACCCAAGACTTTTCCTCTTGTTTCAGCTCCTCCAGCTTTTGTTGAGTGGCCCGAGAGCCTGACCAGACCTCGGGCTGGGACAGCCAGGTTTATGTGCCAGGCAGAAGGTATTCCCACACCGAAAATCAGCTGGTTGAAGAACGGAGAAAAGATTCATTCCAATGGACGGATCAAAGTCCAATACAGCAGGTACAGATTGTTCTGTAAATGTATTCTTTTGTAAAATTTACCCCCATTGACTTTAGATCTGAAGGTCTTTGGGGCAAAAAACTACCTTGTGGAAATAAATAACAGTTTCCCTGGGAATCAAGCTTTTAGTGAATGAATTCTGGACTTGAAAACTGGGTTATGAAGTGAATTTTTTTCAACTTTTTAAAAAATTATTATTTTTAAGCAAATTGGTGATCAATCAAATCATTCCTGAAGATGATGCCATTTACCAGTGCTTGGCCGAGAACCCACAGGGCTCTGTCCTTTCGGTGGCCAGATTGATCGTCATCATGTCCGAGGACAGGCCCAGCGCACCTCGGAATATCCGGGCAGAGACCGTGTCCAGTTCGGGGATTCTTCTGTCCTGGGAACGGCCCATGTACAACTCGGATAAAGTCATTGCATACTCAGTGCATTACATGAAGGCAGAAGGTGAGTGTTGCGTTTGATTAATCCACTCTGGCTCCTCTCAAAAGATCTGAATTTTGAATAAAGCAACCTCACAAACCTGTGTTCTAGCTCAGACAGTGGACAACGTCAAAAATAAGCACATTTTCGCTGTGGGCCGGGTAGTAAAGGAATGGTCAATCTGGCAGATGCAGCAATTGGCTGCTGGGTTTTACCCACAAAATATACAGTCAATTCAGTTTACAGTACATCCCGTGAAACGCTTTGTGACACCTCAAAGACATGGTAAGGCGCTATATCAAATGCAAAATTTATTATTTTTTATTATTAGATACAAAGTTAAATTTGTCCGGAATTTTAAAGGCAGCAGGTTACTATTCTCTTTAGGTAGTTTTTTTTATATATATTAAGAAAAACTTAGGAAGCTTGTTGTAAAGCTAATCTGCAAAGCATCATCCTTTCACTTTTTTTTGTTGTTGAGGCTTCACAGTTCCCAAAGCCTAATTGGAATGTGAGAAGTTTGCCATCTGTTGTTAATATTCTGTTGTGGGCAGAGGTCACAAAGAGAGAATAGCCTGTCTAATGAAATGGGAATAGCAGCCTTCTCTGTACAAACAATGCGATCTGCTGAGATGATTAAAATTGGGTAGAAGGTTTACCTTCTCAAGGGAAAGGTGTTTATTATGAGTTCATAGAGCGGGAGAGTATAGAAATGCATGAAGGTGCAATTGAAGTGTGCTCAGGCACCAGCACTGATTTTCTGTAGGCTTTAAAGTGTTGGCTGCAGAGCGTAGATTGCAGTCGAGCAGTCGCTTTGTATTCCATTATAGTTATTTCATTAAGCCTCAGCGTGAGTTCTGCTGGAGTATTCAGCAGGGTAACAAGACTCTTTAATTTTCCTTCAAGGATTTTGTTTACTAGGTCAGAAATCAGGACTTTTTCAATTCATTATTAACCAGCAATTACTGCTCGTGTAATGGGGCCCTTGAGTTGTTCAAATTAAGCTGCTATCAAGCTCATTCATGAATGTGGGAAAAAGTAATTGGGGAATTATTTTTTTTCTTTGCTTGTTGCTTTATTCAAAATTCAGATCTTTTGAAAGGCAGAGAAAAGTATGGGCCAAGTTTAGTCTAGGAAGGTCAACTTTTGACACAAAAATTGTGACTTCGGTATTTCTCCCTCTACCACCGAAGTTCAGGTGAGAGAAAAAGATTCTCCGCTTTAAAATGCACTTTTGAAAAAAAAATCCCAAAAGTTTTAAAGTCTGAATTCCAAAACCATTTAAGCCATTTCAAGGGTTATTTTGACTGCTCTCGTCATTTCGTTTCTGGCGCTGGTCGCCCACTGTAGCTTTAACAGGCTGCCCAAGTTAATTATCCCAGGCTCACAAATTGACGCAAGGTTTTTCTTTCCCCAGGTTTAAATAATGAGGAATATCAAGTGGTCATTGGGAATGACACAACTCGTTACATTATTGATGACTTAGAGCCGGCCAGCAATTATACATTTTACATTGTAGCATACATGCCCATGGGAGCCAGTCGCATGTCGGAGCTTGTCACTCAACACACTCTGGAAGATGGTAAGCATCGTTTGTTTGAATTTTTTTCCTTTTTTTTCCTTTTAAAAATAAACCACTCTCGACAGTCAACGTATTTCAGATGTCGGCTTCTGCAGCAATGACCACCTCCACCCTAACACACCCCCCACCAAAAAGCAAGCAAAAAGCTACTAGTTTTTGCGAAAATTCCAAATTATTCGCTCCATGTTCAGTTTTTTTTATCTCTTAAAAAATACTGTAATTGAAAGTTTCCTAACCCACTTGCTCGATCCCTGATGTGCCAGTTTACCTTTGAATCAATATTTGTTTCTCTCTTACTCTATACCGTTTCTCCTGGTGTATTGTTTGTGAAGCACAGCCAGTGAGTGCCACAGGAACCATTACTTCGCTCGCACTTATGCTGCTTATGAATTGTGCCAGCCTTTGTGCAAGCCATTATCTTCTATTTAATAATCCCCCCTGCAAAGGCTGATGTAATCTGATGCATATCATTTAGTTACCACCAATGAGTAACTACAAATGCCAGTCACTTTACTGTGAAAACCGTAAAATGCTTTAAAGACGTCCTCCTAACGTAAAGTGTGCTGCACCACATGCAGATGTTGTTGTTGTTATTTTCACATCGGCTAGTGACTTTAACCTCTAAACCTTAAGAGGAGCAAAAAAAATCAAGTCATGCAACAATAGTTTAAAACAATATAAAGTGAATTTGGATATTTCTGTGGTCGTGACTTTCTTTGAATCATAGTTCTACCTGGCTGTCATCATACTTGATGTTGATACTCATTATTATAAAAAAAACATGCAGCAACAACAACAATCTGCATTTATTAAGTGCCCTTCATGTGGGGCAGTGTCCCAGAGCGCTTGAAATGCAGCTGTTATAATGTATGGATTAATTTAGGATAATTTTGTTTGATGAAGATATTCCTGTTGCCTAATGCCTTTCCCCTCACACAGTCCCTCTGAGAGTACCGGAGATCAGCTTGACCAGCCGCAGTCCCACCGACCTCCTGATCTCTTGGCTCCCAATTCCGACCAAGTTCAGGAGAGGGCATATTGTTGCCTACCGCGTTTACTACCGTAAGAGCACAGAGAGCGATGTCCATTTCCTGGAGCTCCCTGGGAACACTCTCGAGCATCTACTTGAAAGTGTCGATCCTGACAGCATTTACCTCGTCCGGATCTCTGCAGCAACGAGTGTGGGATGGGGAGATTCTTCGGTCTGGACATCTCACAGAACCCCAAAGTCCACCAGTGTCGAAGGTGATTTATTTATTTGGTTTTGATTAGAATAGAATTCCCAATTTTTTCTTTTGAAAATTCCCATGCCTACTAATATTGGCCAGAAAGAAGTAATGCCAAGTCTTATCAGTTTCTGTCCACGAAAGTTACAGTGAAATAGTCTCGTGAGCTAAATCTCAAAATCTTCATGTATTCTGAGAATCGCGATGAAACTTGTTCAATTTAGCTTCTCTCACTAGTTCACTGTTCTCAAATTTTAACTTCAGTTGAAAGAAACTCACTTTAAATTATTTTACAGATCGTGGGGAGAAATTTTCCTTGTTCCTTGAACAACCTTTTTGTTACTATCTTCCGTAATGTAACTCTAAATGTATCGCAAGGAAACAATTTGATGCACATGTAACTTAACATGTGTCTGTAAATGCGTAGGAATAGTGATTAATGTGTGTGCAAATGTAACTGCATGCTTCTGTATTTATTAGCTTTACATGAGGAGCTACGTGGGTCATTAAGTAGCAACACGATCACGTAGAAAAATACACAGTCACTGCACTTTGCAGTGAATCCCGCGAAGCGCTTTGAAATGTCCTCCTGGCGTGAAGACTCGAAGCAGAAATTATTTATTATTATTTTACATTATGATTTATGGACTTGGGTCTTAAGTTAAATTCTATAAGTCTGATTACTGCACACGGCACAAGAGATCTCTGAATTAATCAGCACAGCTTCAGATGGTTTTATCCCCAAAATAGGTCAACGGCGGGGGGGTGGGGGGTGGTATTTATACTTGGCTGAATTAAAGTAGTAAGTGCACTCCACCCATTCAGCAATTCGCCTTAATTCTACGCAACTTACGCATCCAGTGCAGTACATTTCTGTAACTGAGATACAAGATGTCTCTTTATTATGACAGGAGAGGAAAATGAAAACCTCCACCTCGGAGCAGGAGCATATGGCGATCAGCCTGTTGTTCAGAAGAGATTGTTGCAATATTCGTGTTAAGATGTTGCAGTTGTTACCCGAGTGGCCTTTGGCCCCGTGCCAGTAACATCAGAACGGGCCCCAAATCAATGGATCATGAGGAAGGCTCGCTTGCAGTGGGTCTGATAGCCCTCAGTCGTGAGGAGGAACCTATTTGTGTTAGCAGTAACCGATTCTCTTGGTGGGTGGGGGGGGAATACACGTAGTGTTTAGCTTTGATTTTTTTTTAGTAACTGGTGTAGGTCCAAAGAATAATTCAGGTTGGCCACAAACAGGGTGATGGGTGTGTTTACCTTTGCCATTGCATCCAAATAAACAGTCGAAGCCTTCAGTATTTCACTCTGGTGCCTGCTATCTTCAACCATCAATCTTGTGGCTGTCAGGCAGGGGGCAGGACACATCCCTGTGGGGATCCAGGCCTGTTGTTTTCATCAGATTAGGGGAGTAAGCAGCAGGGTGGACAGCATTCCTTCCCTTAAAAGAAGAAAAGCCAGACTTAAAAAGCTCATCTCGAGGCTCTGATTCTCCTTGTGTTTTTTTTGGTATCTTCCCTTTGTGTTTCAACCTCCCGCTCCTTCTCCCCCCCCCGCCCCACCTCCGCCCTCCCTTTCCAGTCCTATTCTGAATTTGCCTTTCCTTAACGTGTCTTTTTTAAAAAGGTCTCTTGTGTGTACCTTAGATTTCCTTGGTGTGAATGATGACTGTTTAAAACTCCAAACCTAAAGCATTGGGTGTATCATTGCAATGAAGCGTGTGTGTATAAAGTTAGCCTGAAACTTGAATCTCCAATTTGAATTACTCAGTGCAGGGTTCAGGCTTGTTCTAAAGCAGAAAGTTGCCAACTTCAATTCTTGGCAGTAAGCGGCTTATTTTAACCAATCTTACGCTATTTTAATGGGAGTTCTAAAGGCAAAAGGTTTTCGGGATTCACATTGAGTTATTTTGCCCTCTCAAACCGTCACCCTATCCTTAACCAGTCAGCCTCCATCCATGCAAGTGGCTCTTTTCCATGCCCACAAAGATCAAAGGCTGGTGAGATCAAGGATGATAATAAATTTACCAACTGTAAAGTTCCCATTCCTTATTCCTAGTATTTTTCACTAGGGTTTTCTGTTCACTTTTACCCCTGTCACTCCTAGCCTCTGGCGGTCGCAAAAGAAGGCAAGCAAGTCACTTCTACTTACAAGATGTGCATTTTGTTTATTTAACAGAAACCCTAGAAACTATTCAATGTGGTTTCTTCAGTTCAAGCAGAGACAAAGGGTCAACTGTTGACCTATTTTGAGTGTTACAGAAGGTGAAGAATGTCACCTTGCAAGAAAAGACTTAATACAAAAGATCCTTCGTAAGATGGCAGCACTTTTGATTAACTCTCTGTGGCTGGAAAAGAATCCGTATTTAAGAAAAGAGGTGAAGTTGCCCGAGTTCACATGAGGCTCCTAAAGTTAGCACTTCTTATTTTCCTACGGGGGAGGTAAATTTCAACAATGCAGGGTTCAAGAGGTAAGAGCTATGCTTTTATAATTTAACCAAAAGATGAGGAATTATTCAAGTTCCTTCTGTAGCTCTCGAGCCCATTTGCCACCTTGTTAAGAGATGCTCAAGGTTTTTTTAAAATAATGTTTCCAATGTTTCATTATTTAATTTCACAGTCCCCCTGGCTCCAGAGTTACAGTTGGAGCCTTCGAACTGCACAACCATCACAGTGAGGTGGAAGAAGGCGGAGGAGAACAGCGTGAAGATCCAGGGATACAGGCTCTTCTATAGGGAAGAAAGCCAACAGGAAACTGGGCCAATTTCACTGGGCATGCAAGATTCCCATTATACCATCAGTGGGCTAGGTATGTGTTATGACCATTAACTTGTAATGGCACAAATTCTCTGGTTTGAAAAGTGTGATGCATTTTTCTCTCCGGTTTGTATTTCGGGTGTCTGCCATGTCGTGTATTTTGATAGCTTCAAATGGAGGTTTTGTCAGACTGTTCTTTCCACACTCCCCTGTTTGTGTTGCTCTTTTGAGCTGGAAATCCACAGGGGTTAGGGAAAAGCCTCATTTTCCCTCTGGATCAGCTTCACAATCAAGTTAGAGTAGCAAAGGGTGTGAGAAGCATTGCTGGGAATTTGCTCAGGAAAATGTATCCAGTGTTATTCTTGAACGGAACAATGACGAAGAATTATTTTGTGTTTCTGGTCTGAGGCAAGTTTCTCTTCAGTGAAATGGCAAGGAATTCCCCAGAGGAGCAGCTTCTAAGGGATTGGAACACACCTGTGTTTCTGAGGGTACAACCTTTTAAAGCATGGGCTTTATATATAATGTATAATATGACAACTACAACATTCAGCGCAATAATATCAAATGGAGTTACTTTCAGGTATTGCTCTGTTATCCTTTGCCAGAGAGCCACAGGACAGATTTACCCCTGTACATGGACTTACTCCAATACATATGCAGACAGCAGCTAATGTTGCTCCAGTTGTTCAGTATTCTAGTAAAACAGGAGTGTTAATATGTTGTAAATGAACAATTGGAGGTAGAGCTGATATATGAAGACCCCCAGCTATACAACATCAAACCTCATCGCAACTTGAATTGCTTTGTGTCCGTTCCAAGCACTGTTTGTGTCATTGGTTCCCCACACCACACCACACACTCACTTGTGTAGACTCGTGCTAGGGTTCAGTTGCATGGATTCCCTCTGTTGACTCTACGCACGCTGCCTCCAATAAACTGATTCAGTTCAGCCCAGAGAAGGTTTGAGTCTGAGACCTTCAGAACAGCTTACTAAGCAACTGTTTCCACTCAATATAATAATAAAGAATTCTTTAAAATTTGATACGACTTCTTTCACGATGAGAGAAGATCTCAAAAGTATTTCCTAGGATTTACTGTAAAGTCTAGTGAATCTTGTTTTTGTAGGCTTAAGCCTTTCATAGGCCCCTGGAAGTAGCCCAAATTTTAAAACAATCCTTATATATTGTTTTTTGGGAAAAGTACAGAATCAGAATCTTATGAAATGAGCTGATGTCAATGAGTATTTCTACTTTCACTTGACCAGACTCTTAATGACTCTTCAGTAGCCACGCAAGTTGTGAGGAAATTATTTTCTTTCATGTACAACCTGTAAGGAACACGATGAGCTCGCTCTGTAATTTATTTACAACCTATTGGAGCAAAGTTTTTAATTTGTGCTTCTCAGTGGGGAATTAAACGACAAGCCTTAAATAATTGGAAGTGTACAGATTTCCTGCAAGTTAGCCCTGGAACTTGTGACTGACTCTGTAGGTGTGTTAATATGGACAGGGTTTGGTCTGTCCTCAACGAACATGTCCGAATGTTATTACATTTGAAAGCCTTGTGCTGAATGTTGTAGAAGTATAAGCCATTCCAGAATGATTAGGTCTGACCCCAGTCACTGTTTGGCTGTGGCCCTTGACTGTTGCTTGGTGATGAGCTTAGATTCACATATCCCTGCAATGGGCCTCAAGTCCTGTGTGATGTGGGAACAACAGCACATTCTTAACTACTAACTGGACAACTGACCATCTGTGGCCATTCCAGCCATAGCAGGTGGCTGCCAGCTGACCATTTAACCAGGCAAAAAAAAACTATCGGAGAATGAGGATAGCATAAAACTAGACCATTGATTTCATTTGCCTCATATGTGGTATCTTGTATGTCCGTGCTTTTTTAAAGTGATTTTAGTTCCTCCAGCATCCAGATTGGACTATTTACAAAAATTATATACCAGACCAAGCTACATGTAATTCAGAAAGGATATGGGGGTGGGGGTGGAGGATGTGTGACTCAAATCATACCCATTTGTTGGATCCCTTCCCTTTGTTGGATCCAACTCACAGACGTTGGCTGGATTACAAGTACACCTTGAAATTTAAATCCAAGAACAACTTTGTAACACACAAGAAATGCCTTGATTGAAGGAATAGGAAAATTGGGGATTGATCTGCAGTTGGACTCACCTCCATGCTCAGGTTTCCGAGGGTAACCAGGGCAGAATGATATTAAATAAACGGTAATATTGCAGAAAGCCTCTTTATTAAACCTTTCTTTCAGAGCCACGAGCACACATTTTGTTATTTGGATATAGATGTGAAACGTACGATTGACTGTAGAAAGATTTACATTCTCGTCTTCACCTCCACCACAAAGTTCACAATTTATGCTGGACGGTTTTCCCATTATTCTGTTTCTAAACATTCATAGTCAACGACCAGCATTGAAAAAATCCAATATAAATCCCGAGCACATGTGTGTTTGCTATTTCTGCATTAAGAATATTTTGGTGGTTTTTAATTTTGTAACGCTTGTAAAATTAATCGACAATTGAGCAGCTTCCTTGGATTGCTGGTGAACAGCGTTGATGTTTTATTGCTGTATCCCTGCTTTCTACATGTAGATCAGTTTAATGTGTGGCCAATATCTTTACCTCTGTTTTTTCACCAAATTCCAAGTGGAGGTTAGATGAGCACAGTTTGCTTAAGGCACTCGCCCCAGTCACTGCCTTTTGACCTCTACAAACGCAGTATTTAATCTCTCCCAGTGAACTCGGCTGAAGGTCTGCCCTTACTGATGGTTGATAGTGCCACAACTGAACAAAGCACTGACAGTCTGCGGAGTTTTACAAATGTATCCTTTGCAGCGCGCTCCTCTCACAATAACCAGATATAGTCCGTCAAGACTTGAAGCAGTAATAAGAGAGTTTCTCAGCTATACTTGTGAATTTAATTGCAGACTAGTTGCTACATCGGGATTTGGTCATATGTCTGATATCATTTGTTAATAGGCCTGCAGTGGACAGACAACACACAATTCACAGAGCTAGGAGATGTGGCGTTATGTTTGGCGGAGCTGTTAAACAAAAATATCCCAAACTCAATCAAATATGCAATGAGGAACAAGCAGAGAGAAGAAAGAATGCACCTTTATTTTGAAATAGTTTAGACTGCGTTTTTAAGTTTTTAATCGATTGAGTTATTCTGAAGTCTGCTGTGCCGCAGGAAAAGTTAGTATCAAAAGCGGTTTAAGTTCTCGGATTGGGTCCAAAAAATACACCTCCCAGCAGCCCCTGCTGGCCACGAAGGACACTGCGGGGCAAAATTGCCCTCACAATTTAATTGAAGTTTTTAGAAAAAACTTTCCAAATACTTTAGATCTGGCATGCCATAATATTGCTTGTTTTAGGCAGTGATTTCTTTTTGATTTTCTAAATTTCCAACAGAGTTTGAGGCTGGTGTCTCTGGCTCTGTTGAAATCTAAATACAACTTTTGTCCAGGTGCCAAACTTGAATCAGGTTTTTGTGTTGCTGAGTGAGAGCGGTTTTGATTTTGCTTCTGTGTCGGTTTGCTTTAAGGCCCCAGTTTAACCGTTGGGTTGAGTGTAATCCTGGGAGATAGGCTCCTCTCATTTGCAGATGGGATGGCAATGGCGTAGCGTTACATTTCTAAGGCTGGAGAAGGAGACAAAACGACCAGAATTCCTGGTCTGATGACCCCTAGATAGGGTTTGAAAGTGATGCTCCCTCTTCCCTCTGCACATATGGGCCAATAACCAGTGGATTCCAGCGCTCATAAAACTGTACAATAGCATAAAGTACCAACTCTCAGAACACAACTGAAGGGCAAAGTTAGAAAATGTACAATTAACACAATAGGGCACCTGGATCGCAATGGTAATTGGCCGCTGATGAGAGGATTTGTTTTTTCCCCCTTGACAACGTCAGTGCGTCCAGTGTTTGGTTTTATTTTCAAAATAACAGGAGTTGAGACCTCGCCGGGGTGACCTAACTTTTTGGGGTGGGGGGTGGCATTTTGACCTATGCACTCGAGGCCCATTTTAATGAGGGTCTCCCAGGGTGCAATAAAATTATACAGGCCAGGGTGGGCCTGAAAGACAACACAAATCGAGCTAAGTACTCTGAAAGGGGGAGGTAAATTGGTAGGAAATGGAGTCTTTTACTAGCTGTTTGTGTTTAAATAGTTGCTGTGAGTTAACAAGGTGTGAAAATCTAATAAACTTCAGAACACCTGTATGGAAGTGTGCCATTTTACAACGTATACAAGAGGCCTTCCTGTGGACCCTTTTTTTAAAAAAACGTGGCTGCATTGTGCTCCGTGCTTGCAGTGTGGAAACGTGTGTGGACCTGGATTATTTTGAATAGCCTCAACCTGTGTTTTAAGTTTTTGTGTATGTGTGTGTGTGTGGGTGTGTATGCACGCATGCACACACACACACACACACCATTAAAATGATTGAAAACAGGAAACGTCTGAAAAACCGCAATGCTGCAACGCAACGCAGTTTGACGGAACAGACTTCTTGACTGCGCACATTCAGAATGGTGGTGTCTTGACTGGTGCCTTGGTGTATCAGCATAACCTGATTGTGGAAGTGCGGAGTTTGGGAAAATGCAAAAGTTTACCTGACTTTAATAAAAATAATTTAAATTGACAATAAGCAATGTATTCCCGAAGCTTTGCCGAGCCCAATGAAATAACTCTAGTCTGTTTTATGGGCAACCATAATTCTACTTTGATGTTCAAACTTAACAATCATGATTAACAAGTTGGAATTAATCCTGAAACAAAGGAAACAGTGTTTGTTTGTGTCACAGATCATTTACAAATGCCAACAATCAAACAACTGGGAGATAAGGTGCCATGATGTAATTATTTCTCGTGGTTTGCTGTGAAAAAAATGACAGTACAATAAAATGGCAAATTGAGCATTGGACAAGAAATAGATTTGTATTAGGAGAGAGACCATTTTTAACGTGGTTCAAAAGTTCAATTGACCATTGCTTTACCATGACAAGATCCCTCCTG